GGAGAAACTAACTAGATAAAGCACCTTAGATCAAATTAAATTATTTCCCAGGGTTATTACAGTCCTTCGACAGCCACAATTACAGAATTCTTTTCATTTCTGTGTCAGAGCATTTGATTTATTGATTGCTGTCAGGATGTAAACAAATTTCAACAAATATATTTCAAAATATAAAATCATTTTGGTCTCAGATGACACCCATTAAAGTTGGTTCACGAACTGTTAATAAAGCATAACTAAAAAAGAAATGTGATGTCATTAAATTTCCTAATAAAAAAGCCCCAGGTGGCACAACAGTGTCATCTTACGGTGACTTGTGGTAACTGCAACAGGGCTTCACTCGTCATAAAAACTGTAAAATCCTGTATTATTTATTTTATCACAGTCGTATGGTTAGTGATTTCTTTACACTGGCCAAAGCCTTGCTGTTCTGTGTTTTGTCTGAGTCAGTGAATTGTTACCTGATGCCTCAGACATCAGGCTGTCACTCCTCCTCAGGGGAAAAGAGCTGGATGACGGCCCAGCCGGTCGCTGCTGAAACCCAATAGAGATGAGTGGATTAGACTCAGCAGAGGAAATGCAATTAGGGAAACCACAAAACAAATATACACCCAAAAACAACCCCACTACAGATGCAGGGCAGAGATAAACATTAGGCAGCGTTTTTTATTATCCCTGCAAAATGTTATCTGTCCTAAAGGAGCAGATGTTACCACTTGGTGAGTGTTTGTACCTGGTCCTGGGAGTCAGAGCTCTCCAGGGGGATTTGCTTTTGGGATTCTTTACGTGGCTGGTCCAGGTACTCAGGGATTTGGGATGAAGCTTGTCCTGCTTTGCTCTTCTTGGGCCTGAGTTTCTGCCTCTGGGCCCAGGAGGTCAATGGCTGGCTGGTGCTGCAAACAGAACAGCTCAGGGTAAGTAGAAATATCCTTTCTCAGACTAAATATTGTCTAAATCTCTTCTGGGTTTCTGCAGGGCTCACTGCGTTAAATTAAAGACTTTAAAGATATTTCTAATACAAAAAAAATTTGGTCATAAAGGCAAAGTAGGACGAATGAAATGATGATTGTACTTCCCAGCAGTGTCCAACAACAATTCATAATAATATCATTAAAGTGGCTATAATCAACATTTTCATGATAATAATGTATCAAATGACAATGTGAAAGGGGTTGTGCGGCTCCCCTCAGCTTTATGGAGCATTATTATACTGAGTTTCAGCTCGCTGTTTATACGTTCGGTCTACAACTTTACTGTTTTGGTTTACTCTCAATTATTTTCAGCCGCAGCAGGAAGCTGTTTTCAAAGAAAAAACTGTAAAAAAAAAACACTGTCCACTACCTGTTCAGCAACAAACAGCAGACATACACAGTTAGAGACTAGCTGTAGCTGGTGAACACTGTGGAGCATTTGGCAGCTAAAAACCCAGATATTTCCCTCAGGAGTTGGTGGAGACCAAAAACAAAGCTAAAAGAGAGAGAAAACTGGACTAACATTCATCAGGTGGCCACAAACATGATTCCAAATGAATGATAATGTTGCTCTGTAACTGCTGGATGAGTAAATAGACAATATATTGCTAACACGTCCAACATATAAAATTATTTTGGCTGTCCAAAAGTGGCCAAAAAAATCAGTTATTAGTAGTTATTATACGTTTAATAAATCTTTAAACACAACCTGAACCTAAAACGGCAGAAGCTGGATGGATGAACAAATTAAAAAAAACTAATTTATTTAATGTCCACGTTCACATTTTACATCCAAGGTCAGGTCAAGTTTAGAAAATATATTCAAGACCTGAAGAAGGATGCCTTTGAAGGAAACTGAAATCAATGCTTTTTAAAACTTTTCAAGACCTGCAGATCCCCTGTCATAGGGAGCTGTTGTTAGTGTGTCTGATAAACTACTCAGACGTACCCAGAGGTTCTCTGCTGGTAGACTGGTGGATAAGGTTCCTCCAATCCGAGAGTCGTCTCATTGGAAAAGTCCTGCTGGCACCCAATCACAGTTGTCTCTGGATCTTCCTGGAGGTTAGAGGGCCAGTTTTGTTTCTCCCTCCCTTGATCATCATCTTCCCCCGGAGACCCAACATGTTCCAGACCTGTATCCCAAGCAGACAGAGTCCCGTACCCACTGCTCAGCACTGTGGTTGCCCGCTCCTCCCCCTGGTTGGCGGTCTCTGATCTCTGGAGCGGAGGCGAAGGGGAGCTAAAGGGGGTATGGACAGGGGCTGCCAGAAAGTCATTGTCACTGGTCACATTTCTGGAGACTGTGCTATCACTGGAGAGGAGAGGGAAAATATAGTCCTTTGTGTTTGTGGTAGTTTTGGTCATCGCAGTTGGAGAGAACTCTGTGTGTGGCTGGACGCTGGCCTGGCGGTTCTGGAGCTGAACCAGGGCCTTAATTTCATCCTGAATCAACTGGGGGAAAAATCACATCATTCTTTCACTGGATAAACAAATATTTCAACCCGGCTCCTGTGATAAGATATGACTAAATGCAGGCTGACCTGTATTTGGCACTGGTATTGTTCTTGCTGAGCGAGTATTTGCTCTTGGTATTGCTTCTCAACCAGCTGAAACAGATGCAACCATCGGCCCTGTTGCAGAAAAAAAGTGTCATGTACATACCATCATTACTCACAGCAAGATGCTAAAATACGGTAACACCGCTGGGGCAGAGCCAGGGTCATTTTCATCACTGTCAATATACACTGACAATCTCTATTTGCCTTTGACCTGGCTTTTCATCATTATACTGCAGAGGCAAAGTGGAAATATAACGTCTGGTGATCCTAAACTAAAGTACGACCTACCACCTACAGGCCAAAAGAGGGCTGCTCACCTCATGAGTCATCATGTTCACATAAACACAAGAAACCTGGTTACTCAGAGAAATCAGGTACTATAGTAACCTGACTAAGTATTTGGATTTCTCCCGTATCAGACACAAATTATTATTCAAAAGCAGAGTTTTTTGTGTGTTACTAAATGTCTGGAGGGGATATTTTACAATACGCTGCTTCGTGACTGTGTGTGTGTGTGTGTGTGTGTGTGTGTGTGGTGGAGAGGTGACAGCGTGTGAGAGGACAGGATCAGCGTTATTGCCAAGTAGGTTGACACATACAAGGAATTTGCTTTGGTGACTTGGTGCATAACAATAAGAATAAAATATTATATTAAATATTATATTTAATATAAATATTAAAATATTAAATTGACACGGTATGAAAATAAATATATAAAACAATAATAAAGTTAATAGTGAGTGAATAAACTTTAGTTTTTAGTCAGAAGTTCAGAGGCGTTAATAGATTTAGATTATTTAGACAAATCTCACATGTAAAAAGTCAATTAGAAACGCTGTTAACACTAATTTGTACCTTCTCCACTACAAGTGTTCACATGATGGGAAGATCATCATCCGCACCTTTTATCCAAGAGGGTCCGCACGGACGGTGCATGCAGATGTGTTCAAACATGCTGAATCACGTGCGTGGCCTGTATCCTCACTATTTTGCATTTACATAGTAAAGAATTCCCCTTTTCTCCAGGAGAAATCTAGCTGGAAATTCAGGTTCTGTACATTTACTTAAGTGCATGTAAACACACTTAGTGAGTGAATGAGCAGTGTATGTGACAATGAGGTGATCATATCTATCTACCTCATGTACATAAAAATACCTGCACAAAAATATTTAGTCCAGCATCCTTTGCACTTTACTCCATTGCACATTTTTCTTACTGTCTACAAATTCTTTTTGTATATGTTTATATGTATGTATATCTGTACATAGTACTTTCTGTCTATTTTGTTGAGCATGTTATCCTGGTTATTTACTGTATGCTTGTACTGTGTATGTACATTAAGAGCAATGTCAAATGTCAAATTCCTTGTATCTGCATAGATACCTAATTAAATGCTAATTAAAGTGATTATGATTTTGCATTTATTTTTTTATCTACTTCTTTAACTGAATTTGCCTGCATACTGCTTGTGTGCAGATATTCATGTGTGTCTTTGTGAAGGGAAGCAACTGTGCACCACTGTGATTTAGATTCAAATTCCTATCAGAGAGAGACAAGTGATAATCAGAGGAACAATAATTCTAAAGAAGTATATGAACATTTTACTGATCAGATAAAATTGTGTTTGTTCACCCGGTGTGTAAAGCAAAAGGCCTCCAGCCTGATGAACTATCCAGTTAAGTGTTTTTGTGTTGCAGAACATCACAGATGTCTTTTTCCTGCAAATCACATCCTGTGTCTGAAAAGATCAGCTGCAGTGAGTGTGGTGTGTTCGGGTCTGTGTATGTGCGTGTCCATGTCTATGTGTTTGCGTGTCTCTCTGTCTTACTGTCAGGTGTGATCCGCACAAAAAATAAAAGTGACAGCTCAGAAATGAGGCTGCCAGCTGCCAAATGCAGCGCACAAGAACAACTGCCACAGCAGCTAACCCCAACTGCGCATCGTACAATAATAACTGCCTTTCACGCTCAGTGATGTTTCCCCACCTCACAATCCTTCCAGATCTCAGGGTCTGTCTCTCCACTGCTCTGGATCTCCTGCACCAAAGCCCTAAGGGTCTCAAGGGAACTTGGGTTGATGAATGGAAGGCTCTTCCCTTGTTCAAATGCTTCATCTGTGCTCAGACACAGACTCCTGTAATAAAATCATATAATATCAAATTACTTGCTGTACAAGATATTGATAATATACATTGTTCTCCGGCCACAATTTAATATTACTTCAGGACATAGCTGCACAGAATGAACCAATGTACCTGTAGTAATAATAATTTGTAATGACCTTTTAAGCAGAAAAACCTAACCAGGGACAGGGGTCGCAAATTTGGCTTTGGCAACAAATCCTACCCATGCAACTCATCGGTATCATGTTTTTTTGCGCTGTCCATGACAAACAAATAAAAAATAACTAAATCTTGATGCCACAAAATGATATCAACAATGATCAAATTAAGGTATAATGGCAGAGAAAAGATGTTTGTCTATTAAAACTCCTGCATGTGCTAAAGATTGATGAGCAGTGACATTCTTGTGGCATCTCTCAGCCTAACTTTAATATTTAAATACACCTAGACAAGACTCGACACTCTACAGCATAATGCATTTCCCAAGATTCTTCAGACTTGAAATGAACACTTAAATCAACACATACATTTGAATACATTTTATGTAAAGTAAAGTGTAGAGAAAATCAGAAATCTACAACAACAACCTTTCACAGGAATATTTTTACAATTTATTTTAACACCAATTATAGGTGGGAAAACATTTCAACTCCCTAAGAGAAGATGGCTTCACTGCCCACTGTGTTTTTATTTTCCATATACAGTATATTTTACAGTTGCTGCACCTGATCTTGTTACATGCTGGTGTGATGTCCATGGGCCGGCTCTCCACAGTGCCTCCTGTTGTTTGGGAGGTTGTGTGTCTGCCCTCTGAGACAGCCAGCCCCGAGGCTGACGTCCCCTCAGAGGACACCAAAGAGGTCTCACTCTCCTTACCCCCATCCCCGTCAGCACTGACATGGCAATGGCTCAAAGCCCCCGAGCTGGACACATCCTCAGATATACTGTCATCTGTGGACATGATTATGGGCCCGTGTAGAGGGGGTCAGTCTGACAGCTAGAAACCAGGAGAGAGGAAAACAAGAGGCAGTAAGACACAGAAATAAGGTTTGAAGACAGTTAGAAGTACTGGTGGACCGATACGGCTTGTTCAATGGCTGATGCCGATATTTAGAGAGCAGGACAGCTGATGGCCGATATATAATGCAGATATCAAAACAAAGAAAAGTCATGTATAACTCCATTATTCCATGCAAAGTACAATCTAAAATACATGTTATCTCAGCCTGAAATGTGTTCTTTTAGATGGAATTTTTATAACAATATAATAGCTGCTTGATATGGTAAAAGCTCTATAGTACATCATTATAATGTTGTTTTTCACACAGTTGACCTTCATTGCAGGTTCTGGGATTTGGATATTGCACTTATATACCATATCAATAATATTTCAATTAATTGTGCAACCCTACTGTATAACAATATATATTTAAAGCTTGCCAGTAATGGTTTAAGATTAAATCTGATATCAATTATGACAATATATATCGGCCGTGTGAGTGTAGGTATGGCTGATGCAGATTATCTCAAAATGCCAGATATCGGCCGATTAATCTGTCTGTCAAAAGTTGTAAGTGTTGATCAACTACCACAACAATAGAAAAAAAACAGGATCCAGCTACTATTACACAGTAGAGCTGCAACAATTAATCGATTAGTTGTTCACTATTAAATTAATCTGCAACTATTTTCATAATGAATTAATTGATTCGTGTCATTTTACAAAGAAAACTGATCTGATTCTAGCTTCTTAATGTAAATATTTTCTGGTTTCTTTCCTCCTCTATGACAGAAAACTCAATATCTTTGTGTTGTGGACAAAGCAAGACATTTGAGGACATCATCTTGGCCTTTGGGAAACACCGAACAACATTTTTCAGATATTTTATAGACCAAACAACTAATAATAAAGAGAAAATAATCAACACAGTTGGCACAATTAGCACCAGGCACAAGCTAAATGTTGGTAAAATATGCAAGTGGCTGGTAGATCTCCTTCATCCACCAGCCAAAAAGCTGGTGGATGAAGGAGTTTCCCAAAGCCAAGGATGGTTTCCTCCTTTGTCTTGTTTTGTCCACAACCAAAATACTGTATATTCAGTTTATTGTCATAGAGGAATGAAGAAACCAGAAAATATTCCCATTTTTTTCTCTTAAATTATTCAAACCGATTAATCCATTATCAAAATAGTTGCCAATTAATTTAATAGATGACAACTAATCGTTGTAGCCCTATTACACAGCTATTAGGGACAATATATATATATATATATATATATATATATATTTCTGACCTTAAATGTGGTTTAAACATTACAGAGTTAACAAAACATAAACGCAAACGTCCAAGCTAATGTGTAAATGTTAGGCATTAGCATCCCCATCTCTGTCTCCGACCCTTGTCTGTCTGGTCCTGCCCTGTGTCTCCTGTGTGTGTCTGAACTGGCCAAGTCTGATTGAAAAGCTAATTAGCTTTGACACCTAGCAAACAACAGATAGCCACACAGCGGTTTGGACATTTAAACAGTCCCTGCCACATTAGCTGCTTTAGCTACGATGTCAGCCAGCCCCACAGATGCTCCTTCAGCCGGGGCAGACCGTTAAAGCCCCGCCTGTCAAACTCCGCGGGATCCTGGATCAGTTAGTTAAGTTATCCAGCTGCCCTGATAGTGAAACTACCACTGACAAGCCACTGACTTGGTTAGCTAGCTAGCTAAGTTTGGCTAAGTTGGTTTATTACAGGTTTGTAAGCACCGCGTATGCAAGATGGGCAGCGCGGGGGGAATTATAAAACACATCAACCGAACGGCAAACACTGTTTTATACAAGACAGAGTGGCGCAGATAAAATATATAAAATAATGTTTAACCTACCCGTTGACTTGTATCATCGTTTCATCCATATTTCTCTGTTAGTAGACAAGTTGGCTAGCTGGTTGCTGGTTGGCTACTGCACTGCAGTGATCTCTGGCCGCTGTAACCGTCACAGCACTGCGCCGCCATTGGTCAAAATGTAATCAAAAATACAGAGCTGTGATTGGTCGTCACTCTCAGTCTGTGATTCTATTGGCTGTTCTGGGGGAAAGAGGCGTACACATCTGTTTGGGACACAAAGCTGACAGAGAAGAAATCTAGAAGCAAGTTTCTCTTATCTGTTTTTCACACCTGTGTTTATATATTTTATTTACTTAATTATTTATTTATTTATTTATTTAAAAGGGATAGTGCAAATTAACATGAGGAGTAATAAATGAGACTAATTTTCATGTGCAGTCACTGGCAGGTTGATAACAGCATAACAGAAAATGTTAAAACATACACAGGCTCATAAGCACAACAGAGAACACAGGAGCATAGGTCATGAACAAAAGCACGAATCACATAAAAACAGAGCACACAAACACAGAGAAAATCACACCAGCACAAATGTGATGACCCATAAAAGACATCAGCAAACAATTTGTTAAATTTGTTGGTTTGGAAAAGGAGCTGAGAGAAGAAATGTTTATTAATAGCATTTATTTTTCAATTTAATCTGCTGTTCATCTTTCCAAACCTGTCTATTTTTCCTTTGCACTTCAGACCCTGTATATACATACTGTAAAATTATATTTACATTTAATAATTAAGCTGACACTTTTATCCAAAGCGACTCACACTTGCTAAGTCAGAGGTAGCACGCCTCTTGAGCAACTAGGGCTGTCTTGCTCAAGGACACATTGGTGGACCATTTTGTGTTATATTCATATATACAGTATTGTCACTGACAATTCTACACTCTACTGTACATCTTTTAGAAATTAGAAGTAGAAAAAGAAGTGTATATTATATTTTAATAATATAATATTTTATTTTAGATCATTTGGACCTTTTAATTAAACTTGTTTATCACCTACCTACTTAGATTTTTTGTGATTTATGTGAAGTAGCTGCTGTACTACTGCAAATTCCCTTTGTTAGATTTTTTACATTACATTTTATTTCGCACACCTCTGGAGCAACCAGGGGTTAAGTGTTTTGCTATAACAGAGAGCAACATGCACTGCTCTTTAGTTATACAGGGACACATTGGTGGATGTGTCACAGTGGGTTGAACCTGGGTCTCTTACACGTGTGTCTTATCCCTTGTGCCATCACCACCCTTTGTGACCAATAAAGTACTCTATCGAGCTTCATCTATTGAAATTCATGGCCAGAAGAACTTGTTTGGGGCCCCGGAGCAAAGATTTGAAGTTGGGCCTTCTGGATCCCTCCACTCACCAACCTCCCGCCCTCTGTGCACTATTTTGTACTGTATATCCTGTCATCTCAATGTTACTATAAAGTAGAGTGCACAAAACTACAGCTAGAAAGATTTCAACTGCTTCTGTTTAAGTATTATTTAAGCATAAATGGCAAAAGAAATCTCTGGTTCCAGTTTCTCATGTATGCATTTTTCTGTATGTCTTCCCCTTGTATTATTGGAGTTGCATAAAACAGACATTTTGTGTCCTGTCCTGTGCAGTCAACCTGGAGCGTTATTGTGACAATTATTATACTAAACATGAGCATCACGCTAGTTTGTATTACTTTCTCTCTTTATTTTCCTCTTAAACACAAATAGTTGGATTGTCTTTTTATTATTATACATTATTTATATGTTTTCAAATCAGCCGGGCGACTTCACAATCTTTCCATATAACCCCTGGCCACTGCATAAAGCAACCCCTGGGTAGAAGCACTGCTGGTTGGGAATCAGCTGAGCCACTGTTACATCCTAAAGTAAGCCCTAAAAGTATTAAAAGGTCTTTGACAGCAATTTCAGTTAAAAATGATCCATTAATTAAATCCCTTTCATAAGCTCTAAACTTTTTTCCTTCACTTGCCATGAAACTAACTGCATAAACACACTTTTCACACACCAGTGCCCAGCAAGCTACCAAGCAAAATGCATGTACAGGCTTTAGGTCTTCAACTAATAATTATTTTTATTTATTTGATTTATTGATTAATCCTACAGTCTGCTCAATGTCAGCAAATTAAAGCCGTATTTCGACCAAAGCAACTATACCCCGGAACTAGGAACCTTTGGAGGAACTCACAGCATTTCCACCGAAGGGACCAGGGTCCAAATTTAGATCTAGGGTCTACTGGCTTTACATACAACACGAGCATGTTGGGTGTTTTTCTACTACTGCTCCTCTCTTTTCCACCGTTGTTTGCAAACCAATAAATCACAATCAACGGTCAGCAAACACACAAGTCTCGCTGACGTCTGTCTGAGATTGTACCTCAGCATTAAATATTGCTCGGAAATAGCAGCCGCCGCCGGCCAGCGTGCAGCCGTGTGTTTACAGCAAACAGATGATGGAGTTACACTAAATACTGGGTCCGAAGTTGTTGTTTTAAGTTTTCAGCAAGTGGAACAGCTGATTACAGCAGGTGATAATGCTCGTAAAAACCCCGTTCCTCCGACACTCAGGCGGACACAGACATGAGTGAACAATGGGCTGAAGGAATCTTTTAGTACTTTTGGTGGAAACGCAGCTTTAGCAACAAGTGGCACATAATCTTAAAATGTCTTGTTTTGTCCAACAAACAATCCAACACCCAAAGACATCAAATGGCGCTTCAACATGTGGACAGGAGACATCTGTGACCTCTACAAGCAGCTTTTGTGTAGAAAGCATGACAACGATGTTCACAGAGCAAAGACAACAACCTGCACTTCTCTTTACTTATTTTTACTTACAAGCAGAGGGTGTTGTTTTTGGGTTGATATCGTCTAAAATGCAATTGAATCACAGAATGACAACTGTATTGAAAATACAATTTATTACGCTGAGTAATAAATACATACAAAGATGCAAGTAACAGCATTTTCCTTTTTTTTAATACCAAAACCAACTTTCAACACGAATGAATTTCGATGCATTTGGCACATCTCTGTCCCTCACTCACTCAGCCATGTGTGTTCTAGGGGTCTGAAAAACAGACCAAATACTATCAAAAAGAAGAAGATGTCTTCTCCATCTACGCCTGTACAAGCCATGCATTGTCTACAATTAACCCACGGGCCCGTTCGCATGCACAAACCAACTTTTTTTTTAAATGAAGTCAAAATTAAGATCCCAAAAGTGGGGCATAAAAACACATGATATCGTCTTGTTTGAATTCCAATGACCCACACATGATTTAAATGATCCTCCAGATCCCTCAGGGGTTATTGTATTTTTTTTCCCTCTCTCTCTCTCTCTCTCTCTCTAGGAGCTTGTTTTTCCATCCTTTGTTCATTATACTTCCTCTTCTCAAAGGAAATGCCATGCAAGTGTTTTATTTTTTTCATGAGACGTTAGTTCTTCTTGCAGGGAGGAATGTGTGTTGGTAGCTAGGACCTGGCGTTTCTCTCCGTCTCAGCCAAGCATTCACGCACCAACCCTCTGGCGTGAATTATTCCTTTGAAGAAAGAGGAATATGATTTAGATTAACACACTCTGAATTACCCGCAGCTATAATATATGTTTTGCACTTGAGTGGTTCTGCGTATCAAGGTTCACAGTTACCTCTTTTGAGTCTCTCCATTGCACTCTTGCTTCCAGCATACGTGGGCCTGATCTCCTTTCCGAGCTCTTCGATAATCGCCAGCAGCTCTGCATATTTGTTCTGAGGCACTTGGCTGCCAGAGGAGCCCTGGAGTTTTGAGCAAACAGAAGAAGGAGATAAGCCAGTGTCAACACATTTCACATTGTTGTTTTCTTTGGTATGCAGAGGACAACACAGCAGGAAGAAAAGAAGAGTAACATTCGATTGTAATGAGAGATGCAAAATATTCCCATGATAATCTAATCGCAAGAGAAACACGGGAAAGAACAGACACATTGTTAACAAACTATTTAAAAAGGGCACTTCTCCCATTTTACTCAGTTTAGTCATGCGAAGAAGATCACTTAGGAAAAAGCAAAACAATGAAGGTAAAAATCCTGCATTCAAAACCTTACTTAAAAGGATATAGTTTGGAAATTTTGAAGTGGAGGAGAACAAATGAACAAACACATGATGATTAAATAGACCATGATGCATTGCTGTAGATTAAACTACCCAACACGATATAAAGGAGTTAAATGAGCTCAACCTTCAACATCTACAGCAGTAAAATGCAACATACACCTTCATGCAGCAGGAATATTAATCAGATATAACAGAGAAATACTGACAGGGAACATGTTACAGCAAAGTGCATCTGCTAAGCAGGTAGGGTTAAATTGAATTGTGGGAAATGTAGGGTCCAGAGTTTTTGGAGCTTGACCTATCCTTTCTGCTTCTGCTGATTCTAATTGGCCGTTATTTTTTAATTCTGTCTCTTACAAGTCCCCGTACTACACGCTGGAGTCGCCATTTAAATAGGAAGATGAGCAGTTTCATTTGCAGTTACCTGTGAAAATCCCAGAGATGGAGGTCCGTAGTCACTCAAAAGGGGCCTGTAGGACTGCAACGTGGCCAGGTTAGCTGCTGACGGAGACTGGAGGTTTCCAACTGTTCAGAAAACACAAGTTGGAGCTCAAAAACAGCCCTATAACCAGTTCACTATGGCTGAAACTAATGATTATTTTCATTGTCCATTAATCAGCTGATTACTTTCTTAACTGTTTAGTCTACAAAATTTCGGAAAACACGGAAACATACTCCTTACAAATTCCCAGAACCTGAGGCAACATCTTCAAATTGCTTGTTTTGTAAGAGCAATAGTCAACAAAACGGCAAAGAAAATACCCAAATATATTCAATTTAGGCTACTACAATTATTACATTTAAAAAATAGGAACCATCAAATGTTGGAAGTTTTACTAATCATTGTTATCATTATCAGTCCATCTGCTGATTGCTTTCTTGATTAATCACTTAATTTATAATTTAATCTATAAAATGTCGGAAAATAGTGAAAAATACCCTCCCTCAAGGTGACGTCTACAAAATGTTTGTTTTGTCCTGCAAACAGTCTAAAAACCCAAAGATATTTAATTTCCAACAATAGAAAAACAGAGAAAGTTCACTATGGCTGCAACTATTGATTATTTTCATATCAATCTATTACACTTGTGTCATATAAAACCAGAGAAAAAGCAGCTAATCCTCACAATTGATTAACTGCTACCAGAGCATGCTTGATATTTTTGAACGATTAATTAATTATAAAAACAGTTAATGTTCTTCAAATTAACTAATCAATTAACTGTTGCAGCACTAATGTATTTATTTATTTAGCTGACCTAAAAATAGGCCAATACTGGAATCATTCTCAAAAAAGATGTAGATCAAGTCACTAAATTCCTATAAAAATTGAACAGAGTCTTGTTGGGAGGGTTTGTCCTTCACTCCTCTTTGCTGCTCCCACTGCTGCTTTGTTCAGTTGTAATATTCAACCTCCAACACCAGATGTCAGTCATAAAATAATTCAGTCAATCTGCTGATTGTTTTCTTAACTAGTCAATTAACAATTTAGTCTAGAAATGTCAGAAAATAGGGAAAAATGCCCTTTAGAGCCAAAAGGTGAAGTGTTTAAGTTGCTTGTTTTGTCCAGCCAATAGTCTAAAAAACAAAGATATTTAATTACCAATTACTATGGCTGCAACTTTTGATTATTTTCATTATCAGTCTATGACATTTCAGAAAATAGTGCAAAAATAAAACTTCCCAGAACCTCTTGTCACATCTTAACATTGCTAGATATTTAATTTCCAATCATATAAAAACAGATAAGAAGTAGCTAAACCTCACAACTGATTAACAGCAACCAGAATATGCTTGGTATTTTTGAACAATTCGGCCCTAATTTTATTTCAAATTATCAAAATAATAGCAGATTAATGTTCTTTCAATCAACTAATAGATTAATTATTACAGCTCTAATCTATTTACTTATTTTGCTGATACTGCCACTACTGGAATCAGCCTAAAAACAAAAAGACTGTGGATGAAGTCGCTAAATTCCTATAAAAATTGAACAGAGTCTGGTTGGGAGGGGGGTTTTGTCCTCCACTCCTCCCCGATGCTCCCCCTGCTGCTTTGTTCGGCTGTAATATTCAAACTCCAACGCGAGATGTCCTCGAAGAGACATAAAATAATTCAGAGGCAGATCAATCAGCAGCTCCGACCGAGGAGCATCATGGAGGAAACGGAACAAGGCTGGCTCAAGAAGACACAAGTGATACATTTTTGTCACCGTGTAACGGCACCCACCCGGCGGGACCAGGACCCGGGACGACGGATACGCACATTTTAGGAACCGCCGCCTCCTCGTTTCACATCCAAACCGTGTTTCTCCGCCGACTGATATCACGGATGGCGCTCTTTTACATTAGTAATAATGGCGGATATGAATTAGCCTAGCTCCCAGGATCTGACCCTATATATATAACTGGACAAAAACTACAGACACGGTCTTTCTCCAGGTATTCTCCGAGACCCCGAATTTAACACTCGATTTATCGGACGGATACTTTGATTTCCCCCCGTTTTTTCTCCTTACCCTGGTTCCCAGAAGTTCCCGGAATGTGCTGATGGACATTGGGTTTATAAGACATTCCCAAAGACATTGTAAATTAAAGAAATAAAAATGACCCGAAATTCAGTGAAGCGTCTGTCTCTCACTTTTTGTTTACAACAGCGGCACCGGCAAATATGGCCGTCACTTTATATTGACACCCACTATGCTTTCTAACACTGCTACTATCCATTGCGGGTTATCAAGGAAAAAAAAAAGGTTAAAAACGTGATTTTCACCATAAAGCGACGGAATTCACTCGCGGTTTCACAAACATTTATCAACTCGGCTCACGTCCGTCGGAAAGTCTACTTTAAACTACACTTTTAGAAGAATCTTTAAAAAAGTGTTTGAACATGTGAAGTGTGTTTACGCTTTGACCCCCCCCCCCCCCCCCCGCCCCCCCCTTACAAGTATGTTATATATATATAACATTGTTACACACATTTTTAAACACATGTTTTAAAAGGTAGAATAAGCAACTTCCTTTTATGTGCATTTAATTTGCGGGTTAGACTTTTTCACAGTAACCATGGTTTGTTAGTGAAGTAGAAAAAAAAGAATTATAAAGCTTTTGTTTTAAGTTAAATGTGAACGCTGCTGTCTGCAGAGAAAACAGGAGCTGCTGGAAGCAGTTCGCAGATACCTGTCTTTGTCTGTGGGGGCGCATCCATGGCTTCGTGTTGATCTGTAGAGCTTTTACATTAAACAAAGCTATAAAAGGGTCCACTCTTCTTTTGGAGGCATGTGGCTCTTCTTTCATACAAAATGAGATGAGCAGGGGGTCGGTTAAAACCCCTCAGTATGTCCCTAGGCCAAGAGGGTTTGGCCAAATCCTGGCCCCCAGTGTCATGACCTGGGACCCCTGTGATGCAGTGGGATTGCAACCCCCCCTCACACAAAGGAGGGGGTGTGTTTGGTAAATGTGCTGTCTGGTGTCAACATACCTTAAATTGAAATAATAAGCACAAGAACATGTATTTTAATTGGTTTATAATATTGGTTTAAAAAACTTGGACCTTGAAAGTGCAATACTAAGTTATAATGTGAAATATTCTGTCCAATACTGCACTTTTTAAGGATTTTAATACATCTCTCAACATTATCAGTATTCATTATTATACTACTATTATTTAATAACACTTCTATCACATACTGTAGAATACTGTACATTTTTATTATTATTTTTTATATTTTCTACATGCCAACATTTTATTATTATTTCCATTTGTTAAATGCCTTGATGTGCAACGTGAGCAATTGTAACACAACAATTTCTCCTCAGGGATCAATAAAGTATTTCTGATTCTGACTGTGAAAACCCCGGTGGTGGACTGACTAAAAGTGCCAATACGACAACAAAAAGCTTGACATATTTACATTTTTAACAGTATTTTTAGCATGTTTATCAACACATAAACACAAACATGGATCACTACAACAATGCAAACAACACACAGTAACAACAAGAGTTAAATATCTGACTTAGAGCCAAAGAATATGATGTATAAATACATGACATACAAACACAATCATATATATATATGTATATTTTAACCTGAACCAAGAGGTACGCTCATGTTTTATCCTTTACATTGACTAACTGTTTGTTTTAGGATTACTTTTAAAGCTCTCCATTACCTATTATTTTTAATTCCTTGTGTAGTTTGAGATCTTTGGGCAGGGGCCTTCATCTGTCTGCTTATGAAAATTCATTTAGAAGCAGTGTCTCCATTGTAGAGTTTGTCCACCAGACCTGATTAGTGTCCCCCCGTCTCAAAATTCAATTCAATTCAATTTTATTTATATAGCGCCAAATCACAACAACAGTTATCTCTGAGCGCTTTTCATAAAAGAGCAGGTCTAGACCGTACTCTGTGAGGTTATTTACAGAAGCCCAACAATTCCCACCAAGAGCAGCACTAGGCGAGGAAAAACTTCCTTTTAAGAGGCAGAAACCTCGAGCAGAACCATGGCTTAGGGTGGGCGGCCATCTGGCTCGACCGGTTGGGGGTGAAGGGGAGAAAGAGAGAGAGAGAGAGAGAGAGCGAGGGAGAGAAAAAGGGAGGCAGCCTGCACAAGATACACACAGAGGTACAGACAGTAAAGGTGATGTTGCTATAGACTGAATGAATAATAGTACAGATATTTACAGGAGTGTTGATGATAACAATCGTAATGGTAATGATTATAATAACAATAGGACTAGTAACAATAGTTGTAGCAGAGGGTGTCAAGCAGGAACACGGGGGCAGCAGGGGATCAAATCAAGATAAGTTTGTTTCGTCATGTTTTTGTTTAGATAAATACTTTTAGCCAAAATACTGTTATAGGATTCTTTAAACTCCCAAATATTGATATCAGTATTGGCCTCAAAATCCCATCTATAATCTTGATTATACTTCAGCGGAGGAACTTTTGACTGTCAGTTAGGCTTATGGTCTTTTTTCCTCTGTTGGATCTCACGTTTGTTTTTAATCACCATTGTTTTTATTTTGCTTTAACCATTTTCATCTGAAGGTCCAAGGATTGACTCCCACTAACATATCATAATGTTATATTATATTTTATTGACATGCTTGTGCATTAATAAATCTGTTCTTTCTGAAAATGGAAGTAAAAATGTTTTTAAAAACACCAGTGTAACAATGTAAACTAATACTATATAATATCTGTTACTATATAAACTATGTTATATCCGACATTATTAGGTGGTGGACTGGACTAAACCAGCTAACTCATAATAAAGTAGTTTAAAACCAGCTCCACCAGTTATTTCTTTCTCCACTCCTGGAGAACCCTAAAAATCCTAAATGTGCAGCGACTCTTTCAGAAACATCGCTGACCTCTAGCTTTGGAAATATTGTGACAAAAGGGCCTCAAAACCTCTGAAAATAAAATAGAAATAGTACCAATTTCACAACAAGCCCAAAATAAAAGGCCTCAGTGATACATACGAGTAGCAGTGATAAAAATGTGTTTGGTGGTAGGATACAATTAAAAGTACTACGTGGTAGAAGTATACCAAGCTTTATTGAGCATTGCACTCATTCATGTACAGGTCACATTGAATTTTTGTACAACTCTTATCAGTAGTGCAACTCGTGCGATGATAAAAGGGGAAATGAAGTCCTTCAAGTGTTATAACTTCAGAGGAGCCGATCTGCTTGACACTTTACGGGATTCAAAAATAACGTTACCAAGTCAGCAGCCTGTGTGCACATCTCAAAAAGACAAAATAAAAACGTGGAGCTGTTGGCTTATATAATGGTGCACACATTCAAGTTAAAAAGATGTGAATCAGAGAGCAGACTTTCTCAGCGAGGCCTCTCCCAGTTCTGTCCGACAGTTGAGATGTGCAGCATGAAGAGTCTGTTTTTTTTTTATCCTTTTACAAGTGTACAAAATGTACATTGGTATGATGCAAAGACTTCTTCTTTCACTTGTTTTTAAAATGCATCAATCCAGAACAGAAGAGAATACACATTTTAATAACAGCAGCTAATCCACAGGTTAAAGATGTGTCCGAGCTCACTGTGCAACACATCCCATCTTTAATAATCAGATATTAGAGCAGACTTTGGTCTGTCCTTTCCAGTGCAGATAGAGTATAATGCAGTACAGGACTGAGGAGGCTTTGCTCAACAGAAGAGGTACACTATTCCACAGAAGCAATCATCCATTTTAATTACAACTCGGCTCAAGAAAGCAGAGGAATTAGAGAGAAGCGTTTGAAACGTGTACTGTGAAGACGTGAGCTGTAAATAAACAGCCAGCCACAGAGAATGATCGCTGAGTAGATGTACAGAAGGAGCATTTGAGTTATGGCCATGCATTTCAAGATACTTTGAAAAACTCTACAGATCTACTTTGTTTTGTTTTTCCAAAGAGGGTCTTTCTACGAGTTTAACGCCTGAGGACACCTTAAAAAAAAAAAAAAAAGACACATGAACATTTTGAACTGAGCAGAGCGCTGTGCTGAAGACAGCACTGAGACCTGTGAAAACCAAAAAGCGACAGACATGCATTTCACATTTCTAAGAGCACCTCATCTGCTTTTCTTTACTATTGTTGACAGGTTTCATTTTACTCAACCAGAGGTGGTTTTAACCTGCAACACAACACATTTTCATCGACTGGGAAAATTAACTACTAAACTAAAACACCACTTACACTTTAAGTGCCCCCATTTAGCATGTACAAGCACTATAACATTTAATAAAAGTAATTGTAAGCAGATATAAGTGTCTAATATTATATTTGTGAACTATAACTCCTCCTGTTGGCGCTCGTACCGTGAAGCTGCTGTATAAACAGATGAATGACAATATAGTAATAAACCATGTCTTCATAGAAGAAGTTATAATTGTTGAGAATGTCCTTATGTCTGCTCATAACTACATTAGGGTGTGTTTTAAACTATGTAACAACTTAATATTGCTTATAAATGCTAAATAGGGAGCATTAACTAATTAGATGTGTTTGTAATTAACACTGCTGAGCGTGGTTTGTTGATAACTTTAAATATATTCTTTGGGATACACTTTTACTCTCGTGCACTCTATATAAATAACAAAATCTTCCACTAGTCAAACTCCCGACAGTCTTGTTAGTGCTTTGTGAAGGTGCCTGAGTGCAGTAGCTATTTGTACTGACACAAAAAGGCACATTTGACAAATTCCTCGCTGTAAAAGGAAACGTTCAAGTCCGCATTTTTGCTACAGTCCCTCCAGTGTAGCTAAACACGGAAACACAGTTCAGGGAATCTTGTACAAAAACTACTCACTTGATTTGACTAACTTGGACTCCTGAAGGCTCATAGTAGCTTCAGATAAACATTTTTGCGCACACACAAAAGAAAAAGAGACTGGAATTTGTCCCCAGTCTCTTCTATTGAAAGCGTGTTAAGAAGCGAAGTCTTAACCAGTATTACCAGGAGGAATGATTACAAGAAAGAAAAACCAACGTTCATATGCTCACCTGACTGTTGTTCTAAGACGGACTTTTTAACAATTGTGAATTTATGCTTTAATGTGGAAGTTAAATTTGAAATAAAACAAAATCAAGGAACTTTGATTAATGTGAGATCTGTGTGCAAAACAAAGATATAACAAACTGGTCTGTGGGTTCAGACAATGACGACATTTTGGGCTTTTTGTCTGCTGAGCGAATGGGACGACTAGAAATAAAATTAGCACAGATCAGCGTTCCTGTAGTGAACTGGAATAATGTTCCGCATCTGTTTTCTACTTCAAAAAAGTGATTCTGTCTCTATATTAGAGCTGAATAATATCTGAGAATGAATATGGGATTGTAGTTTTGCATTACATCCCCATTTCTTAACGAATCAGGGTAGTTCTCAGACTTTCAGACACATAGTGGGGTCTTTGTCTCATCCACCTTTGGTCTGAACCGAGAAAAGTCTTTGCTTCATACCAGGTAGTCCTAAACATCTTAAAGCATGGTGGTAAGGAGAGGATAACTCAACAGCCACAGGCCGACATGCCCTCTGGGTTTCAACTCTGTCTTAATCAATATATCACATATCTTTTCACTCTGAATGTCAGAGGACAAAACTACAAAACTTCACCCTTCAAATCTCTCTAGGTGAACACGAGTCTCTGGAGATTTAAAAAAAAAAAAAAGAAAGATAAACCCTGAAATCTTTTCTCTGTACAACCACTGCTTTACATCTGAGAATCATCACAGCGGCCCTGGAGCGTGCAGTGCAGACTGATGGTGAGTCAGATCCCTTTAGACGGGAACGTGAACTCGAGAGGAGTAGGTGAGATTAACGCCCTTGAAGGTGAGCGGTCCACCCCAGACTATGTGTTGGGCGCGTGACTGAAACTTTGAGGGTGGAGCTGCTGCCGTTTCTGCTGCTCCTGCACGGCGAGCTGCTGGCACTGGTCCGATGTTGACAGCTTGTTAATTAATGCTGACACGCAGGTCGCTGGAATGATCAGGCCTGTGAAAGAAATAAAAGGATTGTTTATAGCACATGTTAAGAGGAACGGGTTTTGGGAATATCATTTTCACTTTCTTGCGAGTGTTAGAGGAGAAGATCAACACCATTCATCTCCAGGGTCTGAAATTAGCACCCACCAAATGCGTGTAAATTGTTGGCAGTGGCAGGTAAAACTGTCAGGCCGGCAGAAAAACACATTATAAGGTTAGTGTATTGTACTGATCTGCGCCTGAAGCATGCACGGCCCTGCTTTGCACGCATGCCCGCCAGCTCAGGATGAATTTATGGCAGTGTTTCAAACCAAACTCACCAGCGGAAGAGGCCCAATCGGACCAGAATGACAGTGTGCTGCTTACTGCCTGGACTACAGGAGGAAACTCCAGTGCTGTCTGAGAATCACTAAGCGCATCTATTAGACGTAAAGCACGTCACCTGGTTTTGTTTTCCTTTGCCAAATTAGGAGTAGCAGTAGTTTGCTTGAACATGTTGCCTTGGATATGGAAAGATGGGATGATGGGGACGTTTAGGATTTAGACATAATATTGATCTTCTCCTCTAATTCTCGGTAAGAAAGCATATTTCCCAAAATATCAAACTACTCTTTTCAGTTAGCGGTCTTCCAACTTACCAACTATCCTCTGTCCGTCTTCTGTTCTGAGCCGGACAATCTGCACCTTCACATTGGTTCCACTGACCGGAGTGAGCACTACCTCCACCTCGTTCCACACACTGAGCACCGAGCCACACAGGACGTAGTACGTCCTGCACCGAAGACCAACTTCACACTGTAGACCCACCGACGCTTTCTTACAGTTCCCCCGCCTGTGGGCAGAAAAACACACAAGATTTACAACCATTTACTAAGGATGCAGCGAATGTCCAGCCACCGAAATCAATCTGCCGAAAATAGGAACAATAGCGCTTTTGGTGTTCAATCTAATAAATCAAAAGACCAATTAAATCGTACTGAAGACGTACATATTTAAACAAATAAGAACAGGTCACGAATATGTTGTTCCATTTTAAAAAAGGCCAAAATAAATGTAAAACAGCTGCTCACTGTAGTTTATAGCAAACATTAAATAGAGCATTTGTTGGGGACTATTTTCAGCGGCGGATGAATCCACATGCGGTGCTGTAGTGAGTATTTGGAGCAGCAGGACGGTGTATGTGGGACTGAGTCAGAATAAACTACAGTGTGTGTTCATGGTGATGAAGGAAACTGTCACCCAGTGCAGCAGTGAGGCTCACTGATGGGTTCGTAAGAGTTTCTGGACACAATGGATCTCTATGGCTCAGAGGAAGAACAGATATCAGGCTAAACTGTTAAAAATGCTAAAATTCTTGGTTATGCTGTTTTCATAAGATTTGTAGACGGTAAGAACATGCACATACCAATACGCATGAGAGCAGATTTTTGCTGACGACATGTACTGGTCCATCCAGTGCTGCTTGGCGTCTTCTGACAAGACCTAACAAGACAAAAAAACAAATCATGAGCCCCACGTGAGGCATCAAGTGTTCTTCTCACTGTAATTTTAATAAAAGAATGTTGTGCAACCTTTTTAAACTTCTTCTTGATGTCTGTGTACGTCTCCAGTTTGAGCTGTCTGCCGGTGTTTGGCCTGTACACCAGGAAGAGCCTCTTCTTGGTGTTCACCTCTCTGACCAGTATGGCTGTTTTCCTGTTGTTCCTCACCTGAAAACAAAATACATACAATTGTTCTTGAAGAAGAGCCACTCGACTGAGTTTATATTAAGATCTGTTTATTTTTCATGCACAGGCCTGTGAAAACTGTTGTGTAGAGACATGTTGCTCGGAGGAGCTTTGTCAAGTCTAAGGAATAATTCCACTTGGGCTTGAGGAATACAGTTTTATTTCAGGATCCCTGAAAGAGTCTATTGAAACAC